CATGGTTTCATAGAGCGTACACCCTGACTCGATTTGTGAAGGAGTGTGAGTGAAGCCCAAATCATGAGAAGTTTGACTTTGAAATCTGAGACGAGGTGGAGAAAATCTCATTCATCAAGAATCTTAGGCTTAGAAAAAAGATCCAACAGCCATGACAACTAACTTCCATACCTGATATGTCTAAGCTTTGAGAATAAAGGTGCATAAATGACACAGATAGGTCAGTTGATGAAACTAGGATATATCAGTAAGTTAGCAAAAACTACCCTTGTTAAATTTATTGATGGTGATAGCAATAATTTGGTCACCTAAAAGAATATTGTTCTTAAGGTGTGAAAACCTAATATTAGACAGTAAAGGGCATGCTTCCCAGAACTTGCTTTTCAATTACAAAGATAAAAATGAGATGGCTACATCTGCACATAGACACAGGATGCATCTAACTGCATGTTCCCCCTGTCACTGATGTAGTCACTTCCACTGCTGACTGACCCGCAAGCATCAGAGACCCTGTAAGCCTCAGCATGGGGCTGTGGTTGAGGAGACCTGCCAGCTGGTTCACATAGAATTAACCTCAAATTAAAACTTATACTGGACAAGGTTAAACAGGTAAGGTAGGCTTTACCTAAGCTTACTGCAAACATTCCGACCTCATCTTCCCTAAAATAAAAGGCAGGAAGGTGTGTTGTGTTTTATAAAAAAGAAAAAAAGAACCAGGATATGTTTGGTAGAGTTTGGGGGAGGAGGGAGATGCTTCTGAGGGTCTATGCTGAGGCATCCCTTCCCCCTGAGGTACCAGCCACAGGATGGGTATTCTATAGCATCCCTTCCCCCTGAGGTACCAGCCACAGGATAGGTATAGTTTAGAATAGAGTTTATTTAGGGCATGGGTGGGTAGTTGAAGGGGTAGAGTCAGAGAAAAGCAGAGAGAGAGAGAGAGAGAGAGAGAGAGAGAGAGAGAGAGAGAGAGGAAGAAGAAGAAGAGGAGGAGGAGGAGGAGGAGGAAAAAGAAAAAGGAGAGGAGAGAGGCCAGCCATGAACTCATGGCAAGAAAGGAGGAGGGGAATGGGGAGAGAAAGGACCCAGAGGGAAGATAGTAAAAGTAAGAGGAATGGACAAGCAGACCCTTTTATACTGAGTCAGGTACATTGTTGCCAGGAAACTGAGAGGCGGGGCCTAGAAGATTGCTGATAGGGTGTGTCCTGAAATGAGCTGTGCAAAAGTAATATTAGGGAGCTATAACCAGTCGGTCAGTCCTGAGTTTCTGTTTTCCTTTGATAGAACTATCTACATTTGACATTTGGTTCCCTGATGAAGCTAGGCCTTCAGTTCTTCCTCTTAGCAAAAGCCACTTCCAGGGCCCACACCCTAGCTACCTATATCCCCTCATTAAAGGAGGACACCTTATACTCTGTCATCTACCTCACATGTTTGGAACGCTGTTCAGAATATTCAAGCAGTATCTTTGACAGTTTGGTGTCTGTAGAGTTAGTAGATGACGAGTCTACTAAGTGAGATCCCAAACCCTCAGATCTCCCAGGAGGTGACTTAGATTAAGGAGAGTCTAGACAATCTGTGATCCCCTGGGCTGCTTTGAGAACACAATCTTCCCATGGCCAGTGCCTGCAGCAGTCTTAAAGAGGTATAACACCTGAGCGGGAAAGTGCCAGAGTCAAAAAAAGAGACATTGCTGTTCTCCAGGGGCTAATCCATGCTTGTGAGGGATTTCCAGGAAATTCTAAAAACCAATATGTATTTAATTTAATTTTGGTTATCTTGTCTTACAAATTATGCCTCTAAACAACCAATCTATTTTTAAATAGATGTTAAGAAACATCCTTACTGCTGTCAGTATGTGGTGACCTAGAGATTTGTCCATTGACAAAAGGACCAAAAATTTGGCTTTAGACTTTTTGGTTAATTCAGTCCTTGTTACATGTAAATTATTTATTACAAATTTGACATGTCTGATGGTTTTTTGCTGTACATCTGTTAGTTGAGTGTATGGAATGAAATGTACAAATTTTGTAAACATTCTGTTCAAAGGATTAATTTGAAAACAACAAAGAAAAAACTTTGTAAAATGAATCATTTACTATAGACAAGGCAGCCACTGTCTCTGGGAATATAATTTTTTAATTGAAAATTGGAAATCATTTCCTTTGGGCAAATACGACTTAGAATCAAATTGTCTCTTTATATAGCCTGACAGTATAAAATACACTTCTGTCTAATCTTGGAGTCTGGTGTAAATAAACAGCTAGTTACAGTTACCTTGTCCTTCTACAGAGCTCTGGTACATGACCCAGCCAGTTGTACAAGTACAGTTAACCTTATACTTAACCATGTATTGATTCATATTAATCTTGATGTAAAACTGCTCCTCGCGATCCTTTGTCTCTTAACGTCCCCCACAAAGTTGTAAAATTCTTACCTCCTGACTTATGTTCTGGATCTTTGCCAACCGTTCAGCTTTATCATGGCGCATTGGATAGATCCTTTTCTGAGGTACTCTTAACTGCTTCCCCCTCATCACCCTGCTCTCAGGCTTGAAACAGTTACCAAGAGATCGACACTCCAAACCCCTAAAAACAACTCAGGGGGCTTCTAAAGGGCTGTAGTCATCCAACTCATCCATCATCTTCCCACTCTGGAGATTTGGGGGTGGAGGGATGAACTGTAACTCAAACGAGTGGACTGAAGCCTTCTAGGAATCATTAAACCTCTCTGTCTCAATAGCTCACAAAACTAAAAACTATAAATAAATAAATAAATAAATAAATAAATAAATAAATAAATAACTTTGAAAATGCTCAGATCAGCCTGAACTCTTTGGCTTCTACAGGACAAAATGTGTGCTCTCCTCCACAGACAATGCTGCTTCCACAACAAATCTGAACCAGTCTGCAATGTCATCTAGAAACGGGAACCAGAAAGAATTCAAACACGCTTCCTCCAGTGTGTGGACTTCAGAGTCCCTCCCACTCTGGCTCCTTCCCTGGCTCAGTGCTGTCTTCCCTGTTATCATCTTGCCTGTGCTTTTACCCTGTCTTTTAAATGCTCTACTTAAACTTCTCTTCACACCCAAACAAACGTTTCCGCATATGTTCTCCCTTCGCTCCTGATACTACAGCAAAAAGCTCGTTTAGAATCTGAACAAGAACTCTAGCGAAAAACGAACTTTATCCCTTTCTCCTATGGACAGATACAGTTCTGTGCATTGGTCCTCTATTTTCTCCTGCCCTCTTTCTCTGAAGTTCTGTAGCTCCCTGCTTCTTCTGCTAGCTCTTTTGGGCGCAGAAGTCCTGAAGATGGGATTAGTCACCATTGCAGCGAATCAGCTCTCCGCCCACTTCCTCGCATCATCCCACTCCATTTCTTCCACCTTTGTTCTTCCCTATCCCTCAGCCTTCCCAGATTATCATCTGCTAACTGCCCTTTAATAACTGTTTCTCAAGTCTCTGCAGAAATTCAGGACGAAGGGTCACACAGTCCATCCATAACTTGCAACCAAGCAAGTTAAGACTCTCACCATATCAGAGGACTTCTTCTTCAATGGACCTAGATCTACCCCCTTGACAAACACACTCCTCAAAATAAAAGCAGCTATACCCCCCTTGTCCTGTTTTGCTTTGTTTTGGTTTTTTAATATCCTTTCAGAATTAAGAATGACAGTTCCCTGCTACAAGACTACACTTCCCAGCTTCCCTTTTGGCCATGCCAAACAGTTCCTGAAGGGCGGGACTGTATGGTGTGGTAGTTGTTTCCATCCCTATAAGGGGGCCACATCTCATATTCTATAGGTATTTTGGGCATCCGCTGGGGTATTTTGTGGCTGACAAAAGGAACCCCTCACCATGAATAAGCATGATCCCCAAAGTCAAATCAAGTCTCTCTTCTTTCCTCCTTCCATCACTTTTTTAAACTGTCTTCCTTTAAAAACAATCTAATACATCCACAATTGAACATCCACAATTGAAGATAAGGATTTCCCCTCTCCTGGAATGTATCTGTATCCAGTAGCTGAACAGAGAAGGGCGTGGCCCTAAAAGGCCCTCCCACATCTTTGCTGGACTATTGAGATGCCCATTCGCATGCAAACTAGTGCATGTAACTGCAGTTGCAATGACTGCATCATTGAAAAACATGACATTTTGCCACCCTTCTGAGTATCTTCTGGATCTTACATTGTTTCTGTCTCTTCTCTCAATGCTCCTTTAGCTGGGACAGCACCAACACATTCTTTAACTGGGCCAGCAGCCATTTCTTAGTCTCAGCATGTTTAGCAGCCATTAAGTCTCTGTTCTTACTCCCTTCACTGCAAACAGAAGCTTCTTCCATTAAGGCTGAGAGGAGCCTGTTTTGTCTATGAATGTAAACACAGAGATTTAGAAGGCAATTTGATGCAATGTTAGTTTGACTAAACAACAGTTGTAACCATGCCCTAGGGCCTATGGCTTTCACAGCCACGTGTTAATGAACAGGTTTACAGTACTAGGCATGGATTCTCTCCTGCTGAATGGGCCTCAAATCCATAAGCGAGCACTTTGTTATTCTTAAAAGAGTCTTGTAAGCCTATGTCCCCTAAGTGGTTGGTATTGCAGTTCATACAGTTCAGTTCACATCTGGATAAGGTCATCGATGCCTTTCCTCCCTTAGAATTCTGAGTAGCACCTTCTGGAAAGCGTCATGAAAGCTAGCCAGACACTGAAGCTGCCACCTCAGCTCCAGCTTAATTTCTCTGTATCTCATGAACAAGACGTGTAGTGTCTTCTGTAAGAGGGTCTTATCACACAGTTCTAGCTGGAAACCAAATGGAACTGAAAGAAACTATATTGTTGGGGGAGGTGCTACTGGGACCTCCCTCACTACCAAGTCATCTCAGGATCTCACACCTGGCACTGGATTTTTTGTTTAACAACACATGGATTCTGTGATGTCATCCAACTAGAAAGAACACTGCACTTTAACCCATCTATTAAAATTGTGTTTTTTTTTTAAATGCCTAGAGGCGTCACCAGTCTGACTCCTGTGTAACATGTGTGTATCAGTTGGTGGCAGAAAAGAGAAAGACTATATCTGTGCTCAATGTTCTGACCTGTCAACATCTGAATGATTAGTGGCCTAATATGGTGGAGTTCTGGCCTGTGCTGCCACCAGGGGTTACATCTGGGTCCATGACTCTGCAGCAGCAGGGGTCTATTACCACAAATGGCCAGGTAGATGTCCCTGGTCTGGGCTGCCATCTGGGTACATATTAATGTTTGAGGGCTATACAGAGTTGGCCCCACCCCTTGCCTGGGCATCATGACAGGGTTGTCTGTGGGGACATGAGAGCAGAAGGGCTTACCCCCACCCCTAGCCAGCTTCAGTACAATGGAGAGCAGGGCCCCACACATTTTGGGAGTTGTGAGTGAGGTCACCTGAAAGATATGAGTGTAGGAGTGCTGGCTACTCATCACCCATGCAGCAGTATGAAGGAAGCAGAGATACCTTCCTCCCTGCTCTCCCATTGCCACCTGCAGCAGTAGGAGAGTTGGCCCTGGGGTCATGAGAGCAGAGAGCTGGCCCTGTCCCTCACCTGCTGCAGCACAGTAGAGCTGGCCTTGAGGGTATGAGTGCAGGAGAGCTACCCTGCCTTTTGTCTGCTATGTGGTGACACAGACACTGAAGAGATGCCCTCCTCCCTTCCCTCATCCCTTGCCACCTTTTGGCAGGTGGGAGAGCTGGTCCCAGGGTCATGAGAGTGGGAGAACTGTTCCTGCCCCTCACCAGCTGCAACACTCAGGAGATCCGGGCCCTGTACCTCATCTGGGCAAGAGGGTAGTGTTGGTCCCGGTTTCAGAGGCTTTGGGTGAGCCACCCCAGAGAACTGGAGAGTGGGAGAGATAACAGTCTTAGCAGCTCAGATACCTCTCAGGTCCAGATAAAGTGCTTTGAGTTAGTCCACCCAAACATCTACCCCATCAATGAACTACTGGAGTGCAAGAAGGGGCTGGTCCTACAGATCCAAAACTACAGAATCTCCTCGGTACAGGGCAATAACAGGATATCCCATAGGAGTTCCAATAAGGTTCCAGTATTGATAGTGTAACAGAAGCCAGAGGGCTCATACCAAACCAATGAACATTTGCAATGAACATTTACAAGCAAAGAAGTGTGAACAAAGGGTATACTGGGGAACACATTGTGACACACTAATTTCCACAGTTTTTTTTCTCTTTCTGGGAGAAGGTTGTGAGGGTGGAGAGTGAGTCTAAGGGGAGGGAGAGATGAGTGGGATTGGGGTGCATAATGAAAAAGTCAAAAGAATCAATAAAAACTCGAAAAATATATGCTATTCATTGAACTACAAGGTTTCCAGATGACTTTCATATACCTCTGTTTTTCTTGCGAGGCTTCATAGGCAGAGCTGACGATGGTGAAGGAATGAAGAAAAGACAAATATGTTCACACAAACACACAAAAAATGCTGGGGCACGTGGACAGGGCTCCCTAGTGGAGGGATGTTGTGGGTTTTGTTTATTGCTTGTATTATATTAATTAGGTTTCTGAAATTACGCCGGAATTCACACGTCTGCATGTGGGACACTGAGGATCCCTGCCCCATTGACTCTGATTGGTAAATAAGGTTGATAGAGGCTAACGAGTGGTCAGAGACAGAGGTGGGACTTTTAATATTCCCTGGCAAGAAACACAGGAGAGAGAGAAAGCAGAGTCGCCATGCCAGGAAAGGAATAAGATGCCGGCTTGAGAGTGGCAGGAAGAGAGGCATACTAATCATGTAAGAACCAGGCACCCCGTTTGGGTCTAGGGAAGCAAAGATGGAATATAGACTTTAGAAAGTAGTATTGAAGAAGAGACATTAGCAATGTGGAAGTTTTGGAAAAGCCCAACCATAGGGGTGTGTGTGTGTGTGTGTGTGTGTGTGTGTGTGTGTCTTTAATTCAAGAATCCAGAACATTGGGGCTGGTAGGGAGGAACTCGTGCCATCTCTACAGGGTGAGTAGAGTGGATTAACCAACTACTGCTACAGAGAGACCCCGCTCCAAAAGGCTCGACATCTTTATCATACCCAGTAGAATAGGATGGCAAGGTTTCTACACTCAGATAAACAATGGGGCATGCACGAGGGTCAAGATGACAGGCTTAGCTAATATCTGTATATCTGTCTGTAGAGGAGCAATTTTCAGTCTGTAAATCCCCATGCACAGTATCAACATCCACACATGGGATGGACTAAGGCTCTCTCATCTTGTGAGCCCCAGCCAGTGGAGGAAAATGGGAGGTAGGGGTCCTGTTGAGCCTGAGGCTAGCTTCTCTGACATTGCCACACCCCTCTTGACAGGACACATTCATCAGGACCCTGCTCACTCAGGACTACCTCTCCTCCCTAGATACTCTATCCATTTTGATTAACGTTTCTCCTGCATCTCTATTTGACTCCTTCCTGCTTCGGGCTTTCCAACCCCAATATTCCCACCTCTACCTTATCTTCCTTATGTTCTTTGTCCTGCATTCCCTTAAGACAATGTTCCTCTCCCAGTGTTCCCTTTCTAATTTCCTGGCATCCAGGGCTACTGCCAATTAAGCCTACATATCTCAGGATTCAAGCTAAGATCCACACATGATAGAGAACATGTGCCATTTCTCTCTGGACCCAGGCTACCTCAACTCAATCTGTATTTTCCATTCACCTGCAAATTATATTTTCCTTTATAGCCTGAGTAATATCACAGTGCATGTGTGTGCCACGTTCTCATTATCCATTCATTGGCTAATGGGCACCTACACTGATTCCATTTTCTAGCTCTTGTGGATGGAGCAACAGTGAGTATGAATGCACACAGGTCTTTATGGTAGGATAGGGAGTCCTTTGTGTTGATGCCCAGCAGTGGTTATTGTTGGACAATATGGTAGTTGTAGTTCTAATTTTTGAGAAATCTCAAGTCTGCTTTGTAAATGGCTATGTTTGTTTACACTCTCGCCAGCAGTGCATGATGTTTTCCCTTTTCCCTACCCACACCACCATTTTTAGTCATTTGTTTGCTTTATTTATAGCAATCCTGACTTATCTGAGAAGAAATAACAAAGTAGCTTTATTTATTTATTTATTTATTTATTTTGGTTTTTTGAGACAGGGTTTCTCTGTGTAGTCCTGACTGTCCTGGAACTCACTCTGTAGACCAGGCTGGCCTCGAACTCAGAAATCCACCTGTCTCTGCCTCCCAAGTGCTGGGATTAAAGGCGTGCGCCACCACCGCCCGGCAACAAAGTAGCTTTAATTTGTATTGCCCTGTTGGCTAATGTTGTTGAACACTCTTTAAAGTGCTCATTGGTCGTTTGTATTTCTTCTTTTGAGAACACTCATTTGTTTGTTGTTTGTTTGTTTGTTATTTGATATTTGATGTTTGAATTGCCTGTTCTACATATTAAACCTCCTCCAACCATATACCTGGCAAAGATTTCCCCCCCACTCTGTATGCTACATGTTTACTCAATTGGAAATTTCCTTTACTATACGGAGACTTTTTTCATTTCACAAGGTCTGATTTGTCATTTGCTGGCCATATTTCCTGAGTTAATAGATGCCTACTGACAGTATCAGGCATAGGTGGGTGAGGAAGTCCTTGGTCCAGTGAAGGCTGGAAGCCCCAATGTGGGGGAAATCGTGGGTGGGGAGGTGAAAGTGGAAGGGTGGGTGGGGACATATTCTCATAGAAGCAGGAGCGGGGATGGGATAGAAGGTTCCTTGGTGGGAGGGAAAGGGGATTACATCTGAAATGTAAATAAAATATCCAATAAAAAATTTTAAAATAATAAAAAAAACTGTTTTCATCATTTAAAAAAAAAGTTCTTCTCTCTCTATATATATATGTCTTGTAATTTGGATCCTACATTTGCTTTCAGCAGTTCCAAAGTTTTGGAATTTATATCGAGATCTTTTATCCATCTGGGCTTGATGTTTTTTTTTTTTTTAGAAGATGACAGATAAGGATCTGGTTTCATTTCTCTATAGATAGAGTTGAAAACATTGTCTTTTCTACAGTGTCTAATTATGTTATTTATGAAAAATCAAGTTACTATAATTGCCTGGACTTAATTCTAGTCTTCAATTCTAAACTATTTATTTGTAAGTCTCTTTTTATCTGGAGCCATGCTGATTTTATTACTATGGTTCTGTAGTGGGACATAAGAGTTTGTATAATAATGCTTGCACCATGAACTACTTTTTCCAAAATTGCTTTGGCTATCCAGGGTTTTTTGTCATATCAATTTTAATATTGTTTATTTCTCTATTTCTGTGAAGAATGGTATAGTGGTTTATGGAATATGCTTGACCCAGGGAATGGTACTATTAGGAGTTGGAGAAACTGTGTCACTGTGGAGGTGAGCAATGAATGAGACTCTCCTCCTAACCACGTGGGAGCCAGTCGTCCATTAGTGGCCTTAAAATGAAGATGTAGAATGCTCAGTTTCTCCTGTACCATGCCTGCCTAGACACTGCCATGCTCCCACCTTGATGATTGTGAACTGAACCTCTGAGCCTGTAAGCTATCCCCAATTAAATGTTGTCCTTATAGACTTGTCTTAGTCATGGTGGCTCTTCACAGCAATGCAAATCCTAGCTAAGACAAATGGCCCTGGAATTTAAACTAAAATTTTATCAAATCCTGTAAATCGCTTTTAGTGAGTGGTAGTTTTCACAATATAAGTCATTCTGATACATAATCATGAGATGTCTTTCCATCTTCTGGTGTTGTCCTTGATTTTTTTCTTCAGTTTTAAATTTTTTATTGTGTAAGTCCTCTATATCCTTGGTTTAGATTTTTCTAAAGTGTTATTTGTTTGTTTTTGTTGGTTTGTCAGGCCATCCTATCAACTGCAGAGATATTCTGACTTCTTTTTTTCCTATTTGTATCTCTTATTTTTTTTTTGTCTTATTGCTTTAGCTAAGACCGTAAGTGCCATTTTGAATAGAAGATGAGACAGTGGACAGTGTACTGCCGTGTTTTACCTCTGACTTTTAAGTTTTTCTCTGTTCAGCACAATGTTGGCTATGGATATGTTAGATGCAGTCTTTATTATGTTGAGGTACATTCCCTCCAACACTGTTCTTTCTAGGATTTTT